AAACAATACGGCTTGCATCCGGCATGGTACTATTCCAGTCCCGGACTATCGTGGGATGCATTGTTGAAGAAGACTGGTGGAGAACTAAAATTACTCACTGATTACGATATGCACTTGTTTATTGAGAAAGGATTAAGAGGTGGTATATTGATGACAGCGAAAAGGTATTCTAAGGCTAATAATAGTTCAGTGGAAGGATATGATCCTAGTTAACCCGACACACACATATTATATCTCAACGCCAACAATTTGTACATATGGGCTATGAGTCAACTTTTACCCACGGGTGGTTTTGAGTAGATCGATGTTAATGATATCGATGTGATATCAATCCCCACAGATTCCGATAAAGGGTACATACTAGAAGTTGACTTGGAATATCTAAAAGAGTTGCACAAAGACCATAACAGTTATCCGCTAGCTCCCGAAAAAGATTAATGGTTAATAAAGATTGGATGTCTGAATATCAACACTCCTTGATGGGTAATACTAGTTTAGCTAACGTAGAAAAACTCGTACCAAATTTGATGGATAAGACAAAATATATAGTTCACTACAGAAATCTCCAGTTATATCTTTTGTTAGGTATGAAACTTAAGAAAATACACAGAGTTCTAAAGTTCGATCAAAGTCCTTGGATGGAGCCCGATATAAGGTTGAACACAGATTTAAGAAAGATAGCTACCAGCGATTTCGAAAATAACCTATACAAGCTCATGAATAACTCAGTATTTGGTAAAACTATGGAGAATCTAAGGAAGCGTGTTGATGTTAAATTAGTCAGATCTAATGAGGAAGAAAGACTCAGGAAACTTATAGCCAGTCCGGCTTTTAACAGAAGCAAGATATTCGATAACGACTTAGCCACGTTGCATATGCAGAAGAGTAATATAAAATTCAACAGACCGGTGTACGTCGGTATGAGTATTCTCGACTTGTCAAAACACTTAATGTATGACTTTTATTACAACGAACTTAAGAAACAATACGGCGATAGATGTGAGGTGTTATATACCGACACAGATTCTTTGTTGATGGAAATACAAACCGAGGATGTGTATAAAGATATGACAGAAAAAATAGATATGTACGACACGAGCGATTACCCAAAAGATAATCCACTGCACAGCGCAGTAAATAAAAGGGTGTTAGGTAAGATGAAGGATGAATGTGCTGGGACCCCTATAGCGGAGTATGTCGGATTAAGGCCTAAGATGTATTCTATAAAGAAGTCCGATAATGGAGAGATAAGAAAAGCTAAGGGCGTTAAGAAGTATGTGGTAAAAAAGCATATCAAACACGAACAGTATAAAGAATCATTATTCAATGGTAGAACATTCAAACACGAGATGAACGCTTTAAGAAGTGACAATCATAGGATATATGGATTAAGAATGAACAAGACATCATTATCCCCCTTAGATACAAAGAGATGGATTGATAATGATGGTGTAACTACCTATGCTTATGGTTACTTAGGGCGGTAATACCATACCGTTGGGAACTATGAACAACTCTTCTCGTACAAATGCCCTGCCCGGTCCATCTTGAAGATAAAAAAGAATAGGCTCTCCTTCTTTCGTAACCAATCGACTAATGTTATATGTCTTAAGGGACAAACTCGGAGTGGTTGCGCGATGTAGGCCTCCTTCGAGTTCACCGGGCTGGTATAAATATCTTACCCTTACTCTATCCGGAAGTTTTCGATCTTTGCCTCTCCTCGGTGCTGAAGATTCGGAAGCCACGGATTTCATTTTAATAGCATTGGATGGTTTCTTCCCTTTTAATCTCGTTACTTCATTATTCAGCGCTGATACAACAGCTGATAAACGTGTCACCCATTCGGTTGATCTCAATCGCTCGGATTTCATTTCGATCCCATACTGATATCCAAACAAACGTTCCGCTAATGTCCGATTAAATCTTTCGACGATAGCTTGACTGCGGTGGGCCTCTCTTTCACCACGCCTGATTTCGACATCGTGCTTTGTTAACAGTTTAGTTATTGATCACTTGAAATAGCTTAGGCCATTTTAGTGGTCCGCGTTTATATATGCGACTCAGTGCATTAGCTACTTCTGTTGAATCTTTCGAGGTTAATGGCTCAGCCTCTTTGTATCGACTAGCCACATCCACTACTGTTAAAGCGTATTTATACGTTTTGCGTCTTACCTTATCGTGGGGAAGAAACAAGAGGTCAGCCTGATGAACTTCATTTGTTGTAAAAATATCAAACTTCTTCCTCGGTATATAACGCGGTGCCAGTAAATATATTTGCCAGATCGCTTCTTTCTTTAACCAATCCTTGGCCACATCTTTAGATACCTTAGCCGCGGTGGCTAATTTTTGTATGCTCCTACACCTTTCCAATATCCTCATGGGCTGTAGTAAATTTTATTCATTATTAATTAATATTGATGTTTCTTTTAATATGACTCATGACTATTGCTGAATCGCATAGTCATTTACACATAAAAAATGCCACCTGTAGTAGCAGTATAGGTATATAAATCTGGCTCCAGTGGAGTTGCAGCAGAACCATCATTACCTATACTACTGATGTAACAAAAGAGGGATGACGCTTGCACGGGATCTATTGCCCCGGGCACGGTGCAGGGTGCTGATCTGGGGGTGATTCAGTTACAGGGGGTGATTAGGTTACAGGCGTAATTAGCCAGCGGTTTGGATACTCGCGATAAAGTCATTTAGTAGTTAGTACTAAATGTCATTATCTCGCGATATGCCAAGGAGAGGCACGGGCCACCTAACTGTGGATGCCCGTGCCTATAATAAAACACAAGATGCGATTGGATTAAATGGCCGAGGGTGTGCAGGTACTAGTGGGCTACTAAGCTTCTAGTTGGGTATACCAAAATGCTACTGTTGCCATGGCCACTAGCGTGGCCAACGGCGATTCGCAGCTAGCGCTGCTGGCCTGAGACAGCTACCGCTGACCGGCCCCCATGGTAGCATATTTAAACGCTACCATTGCTTGGCAACTACCACGCTGCCAAAAGCAACTACCGCTGCTGGCCTAAGTCAGACTACCGCTGCCCGGCCCCAGGTAGCCGGCCAAAGCAGATCCCACTGCCTGGCCCCATTAGCAAAACCATTGTGCGACTACCGCCACGGACCCAACTGTCAGCTACCGCTTGAAAAGACGACTACAGCCACCGGGCCCATATACGTGGCAATTGTTTTGCCCCAACGTAAGTTATTTTACGATTCCCTGGCTGAAAAGTAGGGGAAAGACAACGTTCCCACTGAGAAGCAGGTAACCCGGAAAAGTTCCCGCTGAAAAGCAGGTAGCCTTAAGCACGAGTATTAATTTGGAAGGAAGTTAATTTGTTACTAGCAGTGTAGCCCACAAGACCACCACAAAGCACAAGAGTGCTACCCCACACCCACGGCCATGCGATACAAGGAGATAACATTGTTGCCCAGCTTGCCTATATATTGAAGAAACACTAACCCGTGGAGATAACATCCTTACTGGCGCAAAACAAGTGCCAGGGCATGCAATAATTGGTCCGTAAACACACACAGTCCATTGTCACTGAGGTGGACGCCCTCCCAGGCGTACCATGTCTTGTCTGATGCTAGGATCTGGGGGTGTGGCACTATTGTACCACCACCCGGTTGGCCAGTCGGCGGTTGATATTCTTCCGCATCCCCTCGATCTTTGATGGATCCCTGGCATCGTGCCAGTAGCGATGATCTTGGTGTCAGGAAGCTGGAGTAATATCCGAAGGATTGATGCCACCATGTCAAGGTAGAGTTGGCTGCCCTTGACCAAGCACAGGACGTTGGAGCCCAGGTGAATGATGAGGGCTCTGGGGCTGCGCCTTGTGGCCTTGACCTGTGCATCAAGAATGGTGTCCAGCTCCTTCCACCTCATTCCCCCTCGTGCCAGCCATAGCATCCTCGGCAAGTACTGCTGTGCCCTGGCCATGTAGCTGGAGCCCACCATTCAAACTGTAAACAATAAGAAGTGTAGTAAGTACCATGAATAGACTATTTAAATAAATTGTGCAGCATTAAATTTGTTGGTAAGCGTATGTAAGCATTGTAGCAATCTGACTTCCACCTGTCATATTGCTGTATGAGGTGTTCCGGCACCCCGTTCATGGCTGCTGATGTGGCTGCCCCAATGCGGAAGGAGTGAGAAGAATAGCAAGCCGTGTTTATGTTGCTGTGTGCTAAGGCCTTTTTTAGGAGTGCCTGGAATTGGTACCTTGTAACGGGGGAATGGTGAAATGAACAAATGCATGTTGTGGGTCAGAGGGGCGCGCCTCCAGATAGTGCTTGATAGTGACTACGGGACATAGCGGATTACCTGGTATAGATGACATTGTAACTGTTGTCCCCATCCTGTACTGATCATACTTTGAGTGTGGTAGATGGATTGAAAGCTCCTGGGGGTTGCCTGAGAAGCTTAAATTCTGGATGGCGCAAACTGGTTTTAAGGGTCCAGTTTGGACCAGTTTGCTAACCCTAAAGAAACCGTAGAAGGCTGTGCAGTAGACTGCCTTGACCAGTCTGGCTTCATATGCTGACGAGCATACGTGTGGCAGATTGTGGGTACGACCCGCAGCAGATCAGCAGTGATGGGTTTTCTGGTGTCTGGTCGGCCCGCTGATTTGTGTAAGCCTGTTAAAATCTTGCCCACCAGGAAATGTTTTGTACAATCGATGAGCCCACGGAATTTGTGCTATGAAGACAGCGCTGCAATGTAAGTCTTGACTGTGTAACAAAAGAGGGATGACGCTTGCACGGGATCTATTGCCCCGGGCACAGTGCAGGGTGCTGATCCGGGGGTCATTCAGTTACAAGGGGTGATTAGGTTACGGGCGTAATTAGCCAGTGGTTTGGATACGTGCGATAAAGTCATTTAGTAGTTAGTACTAAATGTAAATATTGATGACCACAGTATAGCTTGACATTTACTTCCTGTTCTTCTCACATATTCCCTTATCAAAAATGTTTTCTCTATATTGTAGCTGAATATGAACCCACTGGGAGATAATGGTGTGGAAGCCATCTTAAAGGCTGTGGCAACACATGACAGTCTCAGATTGCTGTCAATGGAGGTAGGTTTAAAATCTTGTCATGGTGGCACCTATAAATATCTCTTCTGAAATGTTTCTTTAAATGGTTGTGTGTGGTAAGTTGTTATCAGGGATCAGCAAATTGATCTGTGTGCCGGACTGGTCTGCTTGTGACTGCAAAATGTCCGATTTAAAAAAGTGCAAACACGACATTTTAGAATTTGCCAACCGGACATTTTGAGAAATTACTTGACAGACATAACAACCAGTAGTATAGGTAATGATGGTTCTGCCGCAACCCCACTGGAGTCAGATTTATATACCTATACCAACACTACAGGGGGAATTTTTTATGTGTAAACGATGATGCGATTCAATGATTGTCTTGAGATCGTATTAAAAGAAACATCAATATTATTTAATAATGAATAAAATTTACTATAGCCCATGAGGATATTGGAAAGGTATAGGAGCAATACAAAAATTAGCCACCGCGGCTAAGGTATCTAAAGATGTGGCCAAGGATTGGTTAAAGAAACAAGCGATGTGGCAAATATAAATACCAGCACCGCGTTATATACCGAGGAAGAAGTTTGATATTTTTACAATGAATGAAGTTCATCAGGCTGACCTCTTGTTTCTTCCCCATGATAAGGTAAGACGCAAAACGTATAAATACGCTTTAACAGTGTGAATGTGGCTAGTCGATACAAGGAGGCTGAGCCATTAACCTCGAAGGATTCAACAGAAGTAGCTAATGCACTGAGTCGCATATATAAACGCGGACCACTAAAATGGCCTAAGCTATTTCAAGTAGATCCCGGTCGCGAGTTTATGGGATCAATAACTAAACTGTTAACAAAGCACGATGTCGAAATCAGGCGTGGTGAAAGAGAGGCCCACCGCAGTCAAGCTATCGTTGAAAGATTTAACCAGACGATTATCAGCTGTTATATAAGTGCTGAATAATGAAGTAACGAGATTAATCGGGAAGAAACCATCCGATGCCATTAAAATGAAATCTGTGACTTCCGAATCTTCAGCACTGAGGAGAGGCAAAGAACAAAAACTTCCGGATAGAGTAAGCGCAACATATTTATACCAGACCGGTGAACTCAAAGGAGGCCTACGTCCGATTTCGTCCATTAGTCGATTGGTTACGAAAGAAGGACAGCCTATTCTTTATTATCCCCCAGACATATAATGACGGGGGGGATATAGCCATCAGTATGTCTGTCCGTCCGTCTGTAATCATTATGAGCCGCCTCCGTGGTGTAGTAGTAGAGCGGAAGGTCCGGGGTTCGATCCCTGGCCGCGTCATACAAAAAGACGTTTAAAGATGGTACTTGTTGTTACCCTGTCTGGCGCTCGGCATAAAGGGGCTAAAACAAGGACTGGTCAGCTCGGAGTCAGTATACTTTGTCTGAGTGGGGTATTCATATTAAACTGAGGCATGGTATATCAGTGTGCTAGCACTTTAAATCGGCATAAGTCCGGACTAATACAAGCAGCCACACAAACACACACACACGTACATGCACGTTGCTTTATAAGTGCAATAATCTTGGACGCGACTTTAAACCCAATTTCACTTCACCTCACCTGTAATCATTGTTTGTCCGGAGCATATTTCCTAAACCATACAACCTAGCTTCACAAAACTTGGCACACTTAACAATCAGGCTCAGTAGAAGTGCCTTTGCTATTTAGAGATTTTTAGAATTTTATATTTTTGTCGTCTCCATGGAAATATGATGAACTTAGGAAATTTGAGGGTACTGCTCTTGTCCGGACCATATCTCCTGAACCATACAACTTAGCTTCTCAAAAGTTTTTAGACCTATCAAGCAGGTTATGTAGTGGTGCCCTTGCTATAAACAGATTTCTTTTTTTTTCTTTTTGCAATTTAAATTGAAAATTGATGGAGCATATCTTCTAAACCATGCGACAGAGATTCACCAAACTTTATGTACATATCAATCATGTTCACTAGTAATGCAGTTTGTTATTTATAGATTTTAATCTTTTTAATTTGTAGCCCCTGACATATAATTCTAAGGTGTACTATTTGCCGATATCATATACTATATATGATGTGAGCTACATAACCTAGTACATTCTTTATGCCTTTGTGTCCTGAGGCTACTACAGAGCTATTCATATGCGAATCTACGAAGTTATTGTTATTACAATTTCATGAGATCATCAGAAAGTGAGCTACATGAACCAATATTTAATAACCTTCATTATATTTCTGGTTTTGGCATCAAGGAAAAAGATTTCCTTGCCGATCTTAATACATTTGAAGGTACACACAGTTTACCGACATGCCACGTCGGGGGGATATGTCATCTTCGGATGACTCTTGTTATCTTAAAGATGGACCGGGCAGGGCATTTGTATGAGAAGAGTTGCTCATAGTTCCCAACGATACAGTATTACCACCATAACCATAAGCATAGGTAGTTACACCATCATTATTACTAGAGCGCATTTTTGGTTAGGGCTACCAAATTTTCGGCTACTTTTTTCTCCAACGAGTCCAAAAACCAAAAACCCCGGTATCTACAAAATAGGCAGCAGTGTATAGCGAAAAACAGACTACAACCCCAATGCTACGAAAAAAGCTAGAACAAGTAGTGAATAATTTCCATATAGACATTTGGTAGCCCAAAGTATATAGAGCACACACAATGGAGCAAAGAACAATGGAGACAACATACCAGTATGGACCTACGAGCCGCAAAATCTGTAGCACCCCACCTATTGCTAGAAAAAGCGTACCAGAGCAATCTAGTACCAGATATCGCCAATGTCGACTATTTGGCCGGAAATCTTGGTAGAACAAATCTACAACAGCTAGAAGGCCTACCAACATTTGTAGACGATTTGTAAGCGTTTGGCTATCTACATCGCAAAGAATGTGTATACAGAAAGGGAAAATTGCTATGTACAACAGGAGAAGTAGGTACATAGCTTGTTTGTAGCAAAGATAGATGTTTCCGAAATACCTATAGACGAATTGCACACTGCTTTGCCAGATTTCGAAAGACAACTACTAGCACACAGCTATGGTTTGTATTCTATAGACTACACTAGGGACTTTTCGGGTACACTAGATAGAGAAGCTCTTGTTGAATATCTCTACAAAGAACTTGGTTTCCGAGAACAAGGCGACCTTGCAGTGGCTATGCAAGAAAATACTCCAACTATTCTCGCAAATACAGATAGCTTTGGAAAACATGTTTGTACGTGGGTACACACCTACAATGGCTATACAACAAGAACGAAGTTGTACAACAAAGTTGTGTCCAATTTCTAAGCAGGAGAAATACAAGAACAACTTGGCGGACATCTTGCAGACTATGTAGACTGTCCAAACAAACATTTTGGCAAGACATTTCTACACCCACAAGTACAATCTAGAGGCTGCACACGTATAGAAGTTTCTTTGTATGCTTGCAACAACGAATTGCGAGATACAGAAACAGCAGACTATTTGGTAGAAGATGCTCTACGGATAGTTTCCCCAACCACCCGCAAAACAATGGGAAAATCTTGCTAGTTGCCTAGATCGTTGCTTTGTGCTAGCAGATCGCCCACAAGGAACTATATTTGTAGCTTGGTATGCGCATACAACGACTGGAAGAATAGCTGGAGTATGAATTTGTCCAACAACAATGTCTGTAGAAGACGACAGAAAAATGGAATAGAGCTATACGATGGGCTACAGGAGATTTTGGTTTCCAAAACTATCCAATATTCCAGGCAGAAATTCTATCCGCAAACGAAGCAGGTGTAGAACTAGGTCCTCTATGCTGCTATACAAAAACAAAAGATACAAAAACTATCTTTTGCGCAAGCAAAAAGCCAACACAACTACGGTGTCTCCAAGCGTTCTATTGCCACCTACAGAAAAAGTAGAGTGGGAATGGAGAACAGCAAAATGCCACGCTATAGGTACAGATATGTCCAAATACAATCTGCAAGAAGTACCAGAAATAGCAAAAGGAAGACAAGCATACACCATGTCTACGAAAGATGGAGGAAAATATCTACAAGACATGCAAGAAGGTCTACATACAGAAGAATGGAAAAGACAAGCATGGGACTATCTAGAAGAAAAACAAAAGCAAAAAGAAGCTTGTAGAGAACAAAATCAAAAAGAACTAGATCTTCTATCTTCCCTGTTGCACCAAAAGCAAGAATATACACAAATTTCGGACAATACACGAACCTTGGTAGAAAAAACCTGTTCGTTTACTTGAATTCTCTGAAGGGATATTATGTGGTTTTCTTATTTTACGTAATAAAATGTTGACCGATAGCTTCAACCTTTCAAATGGTGTATGCATAAATCAACAGCAAAAATATGTGTACGTTTGGCTCAGGCTCTTTATTGTATACCTTTGTTACGATATAAGACTTCTCATTCTCCGATCCTCTGATAGGTGTCGCTTTGCGCAGTGAGATTAGTGCCGAACACAAGTCAAACCAGTCGAAATTTTAGTCCATAATAATCAAATTTTGAATCCGCGAAGAAAAAGCCCATCAATATTTTAATACTTTCAAACTCTGCAGTATTGTTTCCCTTTAAGCCTAACCTGAGGTACAGCTATATTATAAATAAACACATATACAAATGTACACAGCCAATGAGTAGTATATACAGTATTCCTTTCTTCACAGTTTTGCTTTCTTTCTTTCAGGAAAGTTAAAAATATGTTTGAAATATACATTTCATCCTTCTTCCGATCCTTGTGTGGAAACATCCTAAAACAAACTTTCCAGCTTCTAAACTCAATTCTCCAAAACCCCCCTTGTATCACTATGAGGACCACCCTAACAATCAGATCATAACCCAAATGTGCAGCCTGACGTACATGATCTTATCACCTGACACCCTCTGCCTCATCATTCTCTTTCTCTTCGCCTCAATGTGGAGACATGCTATATTTTTGAGAGAATATTTTAGGCCTTTTCTTTCTCAAAATTTGACGGGAGTTAGGTTCTTGCATCATTATGGGCAAGGATCAACAAAAAGATCTGGTCTGTTTTTTATTTAACATCGGGGAGGTTTCATCAGACGTCCGGGAGGTTAATAAAACAGTGCAGCCAGTCAATAAAACATGTCTTTCTCAGTTTTTCACAGCAAGACTAATTCTAACCCGGATCTTCACGTGGCATATGTAAAGTTGTTTGTTTGTTGTTTTAATGCCACACTCAACAATATTTTAGCTATTCGACTTTCTGAAAAGTGTTGTTATCTCCCTTTTCAAAGAAAATTAGAGCGATGTCCCCTTTTCACGTTAGCTTCCACCGAGTAAACCTTCAAAATGGCGGCAAATAACAATATTGACGTTGATGATGAATTCCATCAAATGGTAAGTTAAGAATTGCATGAATACCTACGGCAACGTAATCAAGAGGTGACTGGGGTAAGAGCACAAGTTTTAGCACAAGTAAGAGGGGCGAAGGCACTTCGTTTGGATGCAACCACCTTAGTCACCCCAGTAAAGGCGTTATATCTATGCAATGGAAGCTCATCACACCCAGTTGATATAGAATGCCAGACACCACTACATTAATGATTAGATGGAATCATTACCGGAATTCTCAGAAGGAAATCTACAATAATATGGTACTTAGCAACCATAGGACTTCAGACACGAAACCCATGATGACAAAACGACAAATGAAGGCAGTGGTGTTTAACCAAGATAGACATGTTCACGGCGTAGCTCAACGCAACATCCATGATGACTGTGACCATATGTTTGTGAGATGCCGTGTCATACCATGATTACCAACAGCGATTCTTTAGATAAGCCTGATCACAAAGTTTGGGCAAGTCTCTCAAAAGTAACAGGTCGTGTTCATTCAGCAAAATTGTACTTGTGCAGCCGGGTATGTAGACTTTGCATTTATATAACTACAGTCCTGTCATCTGCTTTTTACAAACAAAACGTTTAAAACGTTTTCAAAGAAAATATGTTCCAAATGTTAAGCTTGATGAAAACGTATGTAAGTTATTAATTCCAAATAACAGCAAAGAAATTAATGCATCTGAAAATCTTTTTTTGAGGGACCTCTCATTCACTTTTGTTAATGTAAATAAATAAACAGATTATTGATATTGTTGCTTATTGATTTGCAACATCTTTTTTACTAGTAAATTTAGCTGATTACATTAACAATAATAATTATTTATGGTGAAATAGAGGAAACATTACTGTGTCATTTTATATGCATTTGATTGTTATTTCATAATATTAAAGCTAGAGTCCAAATAATATTAATAAATATAACTAATTTTGTTTTTGCAGTGCCGTGGAGGCTTGCAGACATTAATCAGAAGATGAGGATGGTTTGCTTTCATGCACATCAGTTGAGTGCAAGTGGAAAGTTCCAAGAAAAAGGAAGTTGGATCCAATGAAATCGGATGACTTGAACCTGATGTCAAGTGGCAGGAAGAGTGAACAAAAAGGTACTGAGACTACACAAGGTACTGTCGGAATACAGAATGGAACAATCAACAAAAGATCAATGTGTCCCCACAGCAACATGCCGCAGACAACAATAAATCTCACAAGATATAAGAAGAAGTTAGTTGGTCATGAAACAAAAAGTAAATGTGGATATGTTGTTAATACATCTACTGTTACTCAAGCTCCTGAACCTATGCCAGAACTTCCCAAAATACCATGCATTGATCATTGTATTCCTGACTATGTTGATATTAAATCCCCAACCTGTCAAACTACCTTTCAAAATCAGAAAAGTATGTGAGGTCAATAGAGAGAATAACAAGAGGACAACATAAAACAGTTTTGGAAGGAAACCAGATTGGAAAGGATAACAAGTTCACAGTTTGGCAAAGTATTTATCCGACAGACATCTCCAGCTCCAGATAGACTTGTATGTCACCTAATGGGATATCGGGGCGAATTTGGTACCAGACATACCAGATGGGAACTTTCAATTGAATCGGCAGCAAGGAGGCAGTGTAGCAACAAAATGGCAGGTCTTCATCCACAGTTGAAAGTGTCTCAGTGTGGACTAATTGTGAATACAGACTACCCTCACCTTGCGACTAGCCCTGATGGATTTGTTTCATGAACAGATTGTAGCATTAATCAACATGGCTTAGTAGTAATTAAATGTCCATCTGTTTTCAGAGACCTAACACCAGAAGAGGCTGCATCAAATACAAATTTCTTCTGCCATATTGTGGACAACAATGTGACTCTTAAAGAAAACCATGCATTCTACTTTCAAGTACAAGGACAGGTGGCCTTGACCAAAAGAACTTGGTGTGGACTCTCAAAGGGATATCTATTGAAAGGATCACATTTGACGAGGCTAAGTGGCATCAGATGGTCACAAGGCTTCGCAGTTTCTGTCAGCCATTATTCCTGAAAAATATACCTGACGTGTCCAGCCAGGTGTTTCACCGTATCAGATTGACTGTTGTACTACCATCTTACCAGTTGTTTTATCCTAAGCTGACTCAGTCGAGTCAATTCAATGTTTCACTCAATACGATATCATACCTTTCTTTGATAGTCATAGATACTTACCATTCAGTGAGTGAAATGTTACTTAACACCGCATTTACGGCGACTGACCATTCAGATAGTAAGTCTTAAGCTTAGACATAGGATATCTGCTTCTCCTTGTAATTTCTTGAACCATTCTATTAAGCCATAACATGTCATTTCAAGACGTTACAGAAAATATGTTATGATAACATGGACGACATGATTAAAGAAAATTGTCAAGCGTTTTTTTCTTTTATTTTAAGTTATTGTTACAAAAATTAGTATCATGGGACTATGATCCTGCTGTCACAGCTAAAACATGAAGTTGTTTATCCATTTATATGAAGTGTCATGATTATTATATCACTGCTTTGATTCAATAAGTAAAACAAAAATAGACAACCAGTAGGTGGTCATGTCAATAGTCATATTTTTCAAAGTTCAAATTTTTGAAGAACATATGTTGATTATGTATGGACAAAAATAGACTTATTTGGCTCAATGTATTTAATACAAAATTGTTATCATGATACCATGATTATGAAGTTTAACTATTTAGCAAGGAACTGTCATCAAAGAAGTAATTTTCATCAATTTCTTGGTCATGAGGATAAAGGGGAGGAAGCAGAGTAGTCAAAGCTTTACAGATTTTACAGATTTTGTTCACAGATTTTGAAATTGTAATTGTAATTACACACTGCCAAATTCTGAAATTCTTGACACATTTCATGTGAGTAGTATAGACAATGATGGTTCTACCCCAACCCCACTGGAGCCAGATTTATACCCAATACTGCTACTACAGAGGTAATTTTTTATGCAAAAATGATGATGCGATTCAACAATCGTCATAAGACTAAACTAAATTGTAATGAAAATGTTCTCTATTATTTCTCGTACACATACCATTATTTTAAACAAAAGGATATTCAACATTTTAACTAATGTAAGCAGGATACGACAGGAAACAATCTATTTTTAATCTCCAACCAGTTCTTTGGTTTTGGCACGTTTGGCATGGAATAATTGACACGCTTGTTGTCTCCCCTGTTCTATGAACTTTTTTTTTTTCGTCAAAGCTAATACAACTGGTCTTATGAGAATTGGATCGAATCTCCTGCTTTATTGTATTGTATTTGGTTAGTTCTGACAACACTAAACGAAACTCCTCCTCGGATAGACCATGCTGTTGAAATATGATCCTCAATGCTATTCAACTTTGCTTCAGCGAGTATCAGAATATTATTATGTTTTAATGCTTTCTTTTGCAACTTACGAGAAATAAATTTTATTGCTATTCCTGCCAGTCCTGAGACTCCGGCTGCTACTTCCATACCAAGTACGATAGGCGCAGCGATTATAGTTGATAATAAACCAACACTGGACACACCGAGTCCCATATGCCAGCTGTTACAAGCGCAATTTTACTCAGATCTGAGAAATAGTCTTATACCTAAGTATTACCATTCACAACCTTCATTTGATAAATTTTGCACTCTTATGTCTTTCCAAAATGAACATGTTATTAATAAATTAGCTAAATATATTTTTCTTGCTTTCAAGAAATGACAACAGTTTTTCAAATGTTTGCAATAATTCAATTGTTTCACTATGTATACCCCTGATATTATTTGGCGCCTGCGATTGTTGTAATCCACTGTATCCATATTGTATAATGGGCCGGTGGCCTCTTTACTGAAATAAATTCAATCACTCACAAGCGCTGTGTCAACTCCATCGAGAACATTCACAGCTCTGCGATACTTTTTATACAATCCAAGTCCAAACTCCCTCTCCTTCTCTATTCGATGTTATGTTGGTTATTTGATGTAATCGAAATCCATCAACAGTATCCATCTTTTCAGATGCTTCATCGAGCACCAGATATAAACCCATAATGTATATTACCGTATATCGCTGTGTATAAGGCGAGTTTTTCGTACCTAAAATGAGGGGGTTAAGAAGGGGGATCGTTTTATACACGGAGTCGAAGATCTCACATTTTTTTCCACTGGCGATGTCAACCGGCGTCCGATAGCCAGCCCAGCATTTGACAATAAAACTTCGCATTTCGTCCTAAATAACTGTTCCAATAACTATTTCCATACATAAACATGATTTGTATCTCTTTTCCTTGAATAAAGTTTAATAATTTCTGCAAATAAAGTTTAAATGACCCTTGCCTCGATGCAGATTGTCAAACCAGCTGACACGGTAAAACAATCAACATCCGTGAGTAGAGAGACGGAAGTACTGGTAAGCATTTGCATATTGCACATGTGACCTAACATGTGATAACCGGTGAAGCTGAAATCAATTCCCGCTGTTTCTACAGTTGTATTAACAACTGTTGGAGACAGTGTGAATAAGTGATTGTGGAATAAACACGCTGAATGTGAAGCAAATAGAAGCCTAGTTAGTTACAACATAGTTAATTGGCGATTAAATTACTCACCATTGTCTCTTATATGTTATTACTTCATAAATGAATTTTATTTTACGGGCACCAATTTGGTGTCGTACCGTGTAAACACAAAATGGCAACATGTGCTGGAGTTACACACGCGACCATTCATCGTAGAAAAAACAACACAAGATAAACAAATTTTTATTGCATATATAAGGTTTGTGTGCGCACTTGTGATGTGCTTCATTCCAGGTCGTCTTATACACGGAGTATAGGATTTTGGGTTGATTTTAAAGGTGTGTACAGGGGGGTCGTCTTATTCGTGGGGTCGCCTTATACACAGCGATATACGGTATTATATCATATAATTGTCTTTAATTGGTCCTGCTTAAATATTTTGAGAGTATACATCAACCTTATTAAATGTATATTATACGGCATAAATATCTTAGTAAGCGAAATGCTTCCACCTTTATTAACTTGGACCCCCTCAAGGGTTGCAACGGGTGATACTCCCATATAAATAATACTGCAACGTTGACACTCGTGTTTCTTTAGCCATTTAATTGATAGACCTGGTAATATTTCAAAGGCATCCACCGGTGCATCTCCAAACAAGACTTCAATAATAAGTGTAGAAAGATCAGGTTATCTTTTATATCATTGTTTTTTGTTTGTTTGTTGTTTAACGCCGCACTCAGCAATATTCCAGCCATATGACGGCTTTTATATCATTTAATTCAGTAACCAAATTTAAACTAACTTCATTAATGATGGACGACTCAATAACATATAACCTGGTTTTTCTGTAAAGCGTATAACTTGCCATCGGTACTGAGTTTACCGAATCCTTCTGTGTCTCCGAGATCGGAAAGTGCAATTGTATTACATTGTCTAAGGTTATGCACTCCAGGGCCTGATGAATCAACCATTATTTATAATATGGAGTGTTACACTCAAGTATCCTATATGTACAGGTTGATGTTTTACATCTAATACAGAAATTTTGAGATCTGAATTAATGCCCCGCTTTAACTTTTTATATTGTAATGATGAGAAAGATTCCGTTCTACCGCTATTATATTTTTCATCTTTGACTGGAATAGCTCTTAGCAGAGTTGAAGGACTTTCAAGTTGAATATTATCCGTTGTACTGATCTGATCAAGATGGATGCACAACTCTTTATAGGGAACTACATCGGGCATTTTAACGCCATGCACTGTTTTGTTGGGTCTAATTATTACTTTTTGTCTAAAAAATCCAAGTGTATCTGCTTAGTTCTCGTAAAGAATTACAACCTTTTCTCCAGCGCTTAAAATCAGCATCCCATTCGACTCATTTTGTGTGAGACTAGCTCCCAAAAGCTTAAAAATTTCATCATTGAGTGAGCATACGCTGTAATACCCATCAGATATAATGTACACGTCTCCATTTATCCATTTCTCATTATTACCTCTCGCAGCACTTATATTGGTCCACCGTGGGTAATATGTCACATCGCAGAGAGCGACTTCAAGCTGCCCAGCTGAGTTATCGACAGTATGAAGCAGTTGAATAGACTGACCATTTGTTATTCCTGGGAGTGTAACATACATATTAAATATACAAAGATACTATATCATAACTTCAATATGAAATCAACTTACATTACGAATCAGTCGATTTTAGTAAGTGCCTCTGGTGCTAATTTTTTTGTTGAATTCCCTGATATCTTTGAAAAATACAGGGTCATGGCAACTAGCGATAAAATGGTGTACGATTGGTTCCACAATCCAATGCAATTTTGGCAGAACCAGTTAAAACTTTGCCATATGGTGTGCCACAACAGGATGTGGTGCATCTCTTTATGCCCCAGGATTTGAACTAAATAAGTCTGTTTTATCATTTCACGTGTACTATCAGATTAGACGTATACTTAAAGAAATTAGTGCCCCATTACCGCAGAATCGAGCATGGAATTCCTCAAATAATCCGTACAATAGGTTCGCGTATGATCATGTTTGTCAGGAATTTAATGTTTCTACGAGTGTACGTAATTATATTTACGAGTTTATGCAATAACGACATCGCCTACCGGCTTGTATAGGCTATCTCTGTTCATAACATCCATAACTCTTCAATCCACAACTACTTCCGTGTACCAAGCTGGTTTTCTACTTAGCGTTTACACAGGTCTCCACTGTGTATATTTTCATTACTATGCTCTCTGAGGCTATCTTACACCAGTCCACAGGTATGGCGTAACTACACGTGTCAAGCACGGCAATTAATATGGCCCATTCTATATATATTGTGCATCTGCGTAACAGTAGTATATACTATATATATATATGTCATAGGAAATAATTAACATTATGCAACTAACAATTAATCTATCAAACATAATACCCACAGTGCCTCGGGTAATTGACCCACAATGCATATCGGGTAGCATGTCTTTAATTCGCCATATTGAAAGTTCCCGCGCATGAATTATTTGTTTACGGACCCACCTCCCTTTGAACAATCATCTGCATGTCATCTTTATTACTTTCTCACCATAGTTTGCCTACGTATTTGCCTCCCATCCCTACCTTTGGGGACTGATTGCTGATTTGGGCCTCAAAACATTTTCCCACAGGAGAAACTGTTTCGCCCCCCCCCCCCCAAAATTCCTTAAGTACCCGACGTGATAAGGGTAACCCTAGGACACATCCGGCGTGTTACTACTTAGTCCCAGGGTCAGCGGCAGTCAGTCCTCCTAATTGCCCAATCCTGTATATACGTTAATAAAAACACATATTTTTCACATATTCTTTGTTATGTCATTGTTTGCATAAATGTACGTAATTATATTACGAGTTTATGCAATAACGACATCGCCTACCGGCTTGTATAAGCTATCTCTGTTCATAACATCCATAACTCTTCAATCCCCTACTACTTCCGTGTAAATAAAGATTGGCGTATAAAAGGATTTAACTATGGTCTAGGTGTTCCGTACAATGGACAAATAACTGTTAGTGATGATTTAGTTTTAAAAATTGGTATCACGGCTGGGAACTTTCGAGTAACGATTGGAGAGGAGATATTATGAGTTTTAAGAGTGGTTGAATTTATATTGTTACAAAGTTTGTGCAACTAAACGATACCGCAAACGCTTGGAATTAATTTCTGTATGATAAAACAGAAAATAATTTTACTAACCCAGGAGTTGTAAGAGTTAATGAATCAATAAGAACTTATGTATGGGCAATTCTTGGTGCACAATCACAAACACGAATGGGAATAATCAGTTCACGGACAGCGCTTGATGCACAAAAACAGTTTCTCGCAAACGTTAGGGGATGCTATTAATTCACCAGTTGACATACCATCTTCTATAATTAAACGTTATAAAGATGTATTACAGTACGGTCAATCCAAAGTAGACTACAGTTAAGTGGCAGGACTATACATGTCTCCGAGTAATATGGAACTTAAGATCGGCCAAGTGATCGGCTATAATGATAAAATTGTTATTGCTTCCAATCAACAAAAAACAGGTATAAATTCAGATAATAACACCGAATTATTAACGCAAACAAACACAGGCGAAACGGGAATAGTCAAGCCACATATATCTACTAACGCTCAACCATCTACTGACGCACAACCACAAGAGCCACCACATATTGCTGCTAAAAATCATCAACATATCTATGAAAAAACAGCGCTTATAGTAGGTGGAGTCACGGCTGGTTTACTCATGATTGATTACTAAAGCCACACCACCCAAGCTAGATTTTATTGGTTATGATATCGGTATGATGGTTCTAGATGTAGGCCTAGCAATGGCAACAAAAGATATGCTAATCAAACAAGGGCTTATTCAAGAAGACATAATGAAGTAATTAAACATTTGAATATTTTAAAAAACATATACAGTGATCGCTCGCTATTGCGCTACCAATGGGGTCCAAATAATTGGTGGGCGTTATAGACGATGAGCCGTTTAACCGAGGCCGAGGCGGGGGAGCGCGCTCGGCAAATCTCAAATCATCAATAGGCCTATGTGTTTATCTCACGTCACGTCAAAATAGTATATATTTTTATTGACCTAGATCTACCTGTAATATCATTCATTTATTAAATCTGTCATATTTTACAATGTCTGAAATACGTATTCCATTCTAATTTATCATTTTTTATCAATAAATTAAAAAATTATGCACTATTTCCCGCGATGTTATTGAAAATAAAATTCTCGGACACACATTTCGACAACGGGTCCGCATCGAACATGTCAAAGAGCAAAATAAAGACTATTTTAAGCAAATCTTTAAATATATTATACAAAGTGATAAATAAAATCAACAAAAATATATCTAAAAGTAATCAAACTTACATCTAAGTTATTAT